TGGGCACTGCCCACGTTGTCTGTCTAGATTTTCGTGTCATAGACACTGTCTATGACACGAGAAGAGGCTGCTGACATCGTTTGTCGCGGTTGGATAATACCAATCCACGTCCCAGTGGCTGCTCGATCGCACTTTCCCTGGCCCACCTCTCCCACCAGGCTAGACTTTGCCCGGCACAGCCGTCGCCTCAGTGCCTCGGGCGGTGACCCGTTCAAAGGGGCTCACAATTCGTATGGTGCCGTGACTCTCAAACCAATACAGAACAGTGAAACGCAAAGGCTCACTTTCCATATAAGGCGAACGGCTGATTCTGGCGCCGGGGCTTCATTCATGCTAAGGCGCCCAATCACAGCGCCGCATTTCAGTTAGTGTCGGGTGCAAAAGCTACTATGCTCCGCCCCTCCATCACGTGACCCTGCCCTCACGTGGCCTCAGTCACGTGGTGTTTCCACTTCTTGGCGCATGGCGGCGCTAGTCTCGCAGGGGCGGTGGTAGCTTGCTCCCCCGCCGTCCGGGGGTGATGGGTAGCAACTGCTGGTGACTGTACCTGCTCGGGCACAACGGCTTTGTATTGGTGTTCGTTTAGCTTGAGTAAATGCTCTGCCAGAGCAGATCATTGAGAAGTCTCTTGCATAAATAAATACAGCGAACAAAAATACGCACCCGATAAACTGTTATCAACATGGCCAAATATAGCATAAACATAATGTAAGCTGATGCCCAGTTGTCGCCTCATTGACAAAAAAGGAACAGCTTGTTTAGCCACACAAACCTTCAGTCCTGCTTAGGGTCACGTGGCATCATGTTTATCCTGTTCCCCTGCTGCTGCTCGTGCGGCTGAGCTCGGCCCGTGGGCCACGCGTTAGACCGTCAGCACGGCAGAGTAAATAAAGGCCCGCATCTTCGCTCGTGTGGGCACGGCTCGGTGACTGTCCTGCCTTTGCCGACTACCCTGCCATCTAGCGAGTAGTGGTACAGTTACGCGGCCTAATGCTATGCAGAGCTGCAGGCCGCATAGCCGAGGAGAGTACAATATCGGAGAACGCTATTCAGTAACTCGCCTAGTGCTTATGTGAGCTTTCCTTCGACGAATGTGTGGCTACCTGTCTTCCGTCGAGCCAGCGCTGTGAAAACAGCCGTAAAATTCCGTGAGTGGTCTTCCTCATGGCTGTGACGGCGCTGTGAAAGAGATTGATGCTGGTATGGCGTCACCGCTGTTACCGTCCTCTGGATGGCAGCCAAGATCCGACGACGCTTTCTGTCCTGTCATGGGAGGCAGGTCTCGGGCGGCCATCTCGAGCTCCGACAGATGGCATGTCACACGGGAGTTGGTTTGTGTGCGTTTTCACTCTCATGCGCTGTCGAATCCCGGTTATGTAGCTGGTGGACGGTCTCGACTCTCGCTTTCAGCCATCTGTCTTCCTCTCCTCTCCGTCTGATGTGCCTCCGACCGGCCGTATCGGACTGACGTGCTGACACTGGCATTATTGGTATCGCTGGCTGCCCCTCTCTTTTGTGCTGCTTCCCGCCGCTCGCCACCGACAACCGCCATTGCCCTCGTTGTGATTATGTATAATATGTTTGATTATTTAGCATGCTATTATTTTCATCATTATATTGTTTATATTATATTCTACTGAATGCCTTCACCTCGCCATATTGCCACCCACGGCCTGCCGCCTACCCTTCCAGTATAACATTGCCGCCAACGCCGACGCCTACCCATTCCCGCCCAGCTGCCGCCAACGTGCGCTCATTTATTGCTACTGAGAAGGATGGAAATTGGGCAGAAAGCAAGCAGAAGGATGGATAGAAATCGCGCAGAAAGTCCGGACACCAATCGAGCAGAAAGTTAGCGGGGCGGCACGGGTAGGATACGAGCCGGAGATGAATGTTGTAGCGAGCCGAGACTGATGTGATGCTGGCGAAAGAGCGAGTCCGGATGGCAGAAAGATCGGTCGGAAACCTCGCGGAAGGAGACGGAAATCAGTGGGCGAGCTGGCGGTGATATGCTCGGGAACCGGGCGGAGATAATTGATGTCGGACCGGAAACCTGGCAGCGAGCGAGCGAGACTGAAATAGCCGCTGAAATTTGTGGAGGTCAGATTGGAACTGAGCGCGGGTCATCTGGAGCGTGGGCTGGACGATTCGGCTCCCATGGGAGCGGTGGGCGAGCGCTGGAGCTGACAAGGGGTTATGAAGATTGAATGAGAAAGCAGATATTGGCTGTGAGTAGGCTCCGTGGATGCTATTTTTACCACGAGAAAATTGTATTATAGAACGAATTGAGATTTTGGTGAAAAGAGTGAGAGGTAAATCAAAATGTAACGTGGGCGCACGACTGCACTGAGGCATAACGACCGAACGACTGCACCGAAGCATAACTCGCTAACATATGCCTGATCGTCCCGGCGAAAGCTGCAAACACACGACTTTGAACTGGAGGGCGCGCGCCTGAGCCATTCATATTCACGGACTTTCCACGGTGCGGCGGCGGCGG